CCATTCTCCTGCCTCAGCCTCCCGAGTAGCTGGGACTACAGGCACCCGCCACCACACCGGGCTAATTTTTGTATTTTTAGTAGAGACGCGTTTCACCATGTTAGCGAGGATGGTCTCGATCTCCTGACCCCATGATCCGCCTGCCTCGGCCTCCCAAAGTGCTGGGATTACAGGTGTGAGCCACCACGCCCGGCCCACTTTTTCTTATTTTTACTTTTAATGTACAAGCATTTGAAAGTGAATTGGTCACTGTTAGAATGGCTATGCTAAGAGGAAAAGCCCATCCTTTTCAGTTAGTTCATCATTGTTTCAGGTATTTGGCAGAAGGGAAATTTGTGTACAAAGAGTAAGGGTGGAAATTATATTTTTAAGTACAAGAATGTGATTTGGTCTTTAAAAAATATGTACCTTACTCAGTGATTGAAAATGGAGTAATAGTATTGTGGGAATGATATTCTAAGGGTTATCCTTAATGATTCTGAAAAAGCATTACTAAACACAGAATGCCAAAATAGAATTAAAGGCATTAAAAAATTATATGTTGACACAATTTCACTTCTAGGTACATACCCAAAAGAATTGAAGTGTTGAAACAAAAACTTGTACATGAATGTTCATAACAGCACTGTTCACAATAGCCAGAAGGTGGAAACATCCCAAATGTTTATCAACAGATGAATGGATAAATAGAATATGTTATATTCATACAATTGAACATTACTCAGCCATAAAAAGAAGTGAAGTACATGCTACAACATGAATGAACCATGAACATATTATGCTAAGTGAAAGAAGTGAAACACAGAAAGCCACATTCTGTATGATTCCATTTATATGAGATATCCAGAATGAGCAAATCCATAGAGATAGAAAGCAGATTAATAGTTACTAGGGGATAGGGGGAGGGGTAAATGGGAAGTGACTACTTAATGATACAGGGTTGCCATCTGGAGTGGTGAGAAAGTTCTGGAACTAGATAATGGTGGTGGTTGTACAACATTGTGAATGTATTTAATGCCACTGAATTGTACACTTTAAAATTGTTAAAATGGCAAATTTTATGTGTATTTTGCTACAATAAAAATGGAAAATAAACTTTATACATATACTCTGTTCATAATAGTAATTTTAATTTATCAAAGAAAATTTTTAAAATTAAAAAAGTATAATGAGAGAAATGCAAGCCATTTATAATTACACCATTCTGAGAATAACTACTGTTAACCTTTTGGAATATTTCTTTCCATTATCTTTTTTATATTATACTAAGACTTTAAAAAAAATTTTTCCATTCTTTATCTCTTTGTATCAATAAATCTGCATATTTGGTTACATAACAGATCATATTTAATATCCAATCACTATTTAAAAGATTGTGGAGAAGTCTTTGTTTATGGTTTATCTTTGTATGTAAGTTGATTATATTTTGAATTTCCTTTTTGAGAAGTCAGTCTATATTATGAAAGTATATACTTCATGAGAATTTTCATACTAATAGGTACAGCTTTTCTTCTAAGAATTAAACATCCTATTCACCATAAGTATGCAATTTTAACCTGAAATGTGAAGTCCTGTGTATGTTTATGCCACAGGGGAAAGCAAGGAGATTATTACAGAATTTTAATACAGAATGTTAAAGTCGAAGATAGATAATGAGCATGTTTTATACAAACAGAAGCTTCTAACATAGCAGTGTTCTGGTGGAAGTACAGTTTGAGAATTGACCCCCACTGGTTAAGTGTGTTACTGCAGTGGAATTCCTAATTAAAGGGATGAAAATGCCCGCATCAAAGCAGGAAAAGGGCAAAGTCTAGAAGTCCCAACGCATAGAGGTAGATATGTTCGCTATCAAGACAGACATCTCTGTGGTCACGAGGATGAGGAATGTGACCATGACCAGTGGTAATAGCCACCCAGTTTTCAGATGATCAGGAAACAAATGAATTGCTACGCGTCTGGCTACCATCTTACTGTCTTTTTCACTCAAGGTTTTTAAGTCGGTCTGTTTGGGAACTTTCTTTTGATAACATGTCTCTAATTTTATAATGGGAGTTAGTAGGAAAGTAGGATTTACTTTAGACCTTGTTTTAGGAGCCAGAATGCTTCTGTTTGACAGTGTGAGGGATGTTTGATAAAATGGTTTTACAAATGGATGTAATTAATTTCAAGTCAATACTGAATTGACAGACTAATCAATAATACTTCCATATTTCTGTTTCCTCAGAATAATAATTAAAACATTTAAAATAAGTGTTTATAGCCTCTGAAGGAATCTGGTTAGTCATTAAAAATGACAGCCATCCACAAAAGGCAGTAAGGACAAATTAGAGCAGAGGCCCCACCCTTCCAAGAATAACTGATCATTGCCCACATCATGATCTACTTATTGTCCTAGTAGGTATGAGAAGAATGAAGAGTGAATAATTTGGGGAAAAATTTCATTAACTGATAAATTGGAATATCTACCTGCAAGGCTAAAATGGTTGTTAAATGAGGGAAATTGCTCCCCTAGATAAATCTGACATGATACGCCTTGTGTTTGAACACAGAAACTCATCACCATTGTTCTGTGTTCTTCAATTGACATCATTCTCTTAATTCTGAATGACAGGGTGATTGACAGAAATGGTGCTTTGTAAAGAGAAAAACTCATGCAGCA